AGCCCGGGCGGCGCCCGGCAGGGGCGGCTCGGCCGAGGCGGGAGGGATGGAAGGGACGGTTCGCCTCACAAACCCGGGGCAGCCGAGCCCGGGGCCCACAGGAGCCTCAGAAGCAGCAAGCTGGGACGGCAGCGTGTTGACCGGCAGGGGTTACGGGGCTACAGTGGAGTGAAAGCTCGGAGCGGTGCAGAAGAGGCAGTGGGGGCGTGGCAGCGGCCGCCCGGCTCCCAGCAGGGCAGAGAGAGGCGAGCTCCGGATCCCGGCGCCCGAGCAGACGGGGATATCCCTCTCTTAGCGAGGGGGGTGCTAATGAGGGCCCCGTTCAGCGGCTGCTCTCTCGAGCAGAGGCTCACCCCACGGCAGAAGCAGCAGCGCTGGGCTCTGGCAGCAGCGGCGAATTCCCTTCCCCAAGCAGCAGCTCCGACCATCCTCCTCTGAAGCCAAGAGAGAGAGGGAGCAACTGCCCCAGACTCGTCTTTGATCAGCCCCCTTCTCCAGGTATGTCTGCCTCTCAGAAGGAAACTCCCGGATTAGAGAAGTGCAACCAGATGCCCTCCTCTTCTGAGCTTGGCTACTTTTGTTTTTTCTTAAGTTAGTGTTTCCTAGCAACTTACAGGAAAAGATTCTGTAAGTAAAAAGGAACAAAACGAAAGAAACCTAACGCACAACAATATTTTAAAACTTTGCAATAAGTAGAAATATACTTTCTTATTTTTCAGAAGTCTCAAATTTTTGCTATATACTATCAGGGGCTGAAGAATGTCATTTAATTGCTGTGATGGTAAACATACATAAACTTTACTTCAGTTCTATAATGTTGCTGACTTATACTGAAAAATTACCTCTTCTTTTGTGGAGAAAAGTTAATAAATCCATTAAGGGATTTGTAGAATTGCTTTTCATTCATGCTAATTACATCTTCTTGGCAGTTGATAACTGATGAAGTGATTCTTAGACGTACATGCACATCTCGTGCACTCTACAAGAGTTGCAAGAGAAAATTCTCCTCCTTGAAAGCAAATATTTTTAGAAATTTCTGATTTTTCTAATTTGAATTTGCAAGTGCTTGCACTCAGAAGCATCTGCAATTTGATTTCATCTCACTAGTATCTGAGTTTATTGAAGTAATTTTGCTGGCAAATACAGAGTTAATGAAAATAATAAAGCAGTTATAAACAGTAAATTATGTTGTGTCTGGTGAACTTTTGGAAAATATGGGACATGATGTTTAAGTGCGTTAGCTTAGAAGACACCAGCAAACTTCTAAGCTAAGAAGTGCTAGAGAAGAAATTTGAAGGTTGTATGACATGTCCCCACTGCTGCTAAAAATGGATAAAGCTAATAGTTTTAAAATAAGATGTGATTTTAAGGTGATTGTGTTTGCATCATTTGGAGGAAAAAATGCCCACATAAACAAACAAAACAAGACTGAAAACAAACAATAAATGCCACACTGAAACACAGCACAAACCTCAGATCTTTGTTGTATCAAATGGAATCCCTAAAACTCTTGGACATTCTTAACCTTACTTTTATGCAACTGTCTTCACTTATAAAACTGTATTAGTAATCATAATTTGTCTCATAAATATTTCACTTTGTTGTCAGAATTTAGTTAAATTTAGTTAAAATGTCCAGAGCACACTCTGATGATAATATAAGGAGCACCATAAAGAAATCCAGAAGAAATATATATTGGTGAACATGTTTACTTAAAACAATACCAATAATTATTTTCCATTCAGATGCTTCTTCTGAAAGATTTAACAGTTGTTAGGGTTATATTGAAACTCACTTTCAGGCCCAGAGCAGTATTGCAAACATACAGCCATTACTGCAATGTATTTTATGAAGCCTATGAATTTTATCTGCTACTATTTTTGTTCACACAAGGTCAAGTCCATGTCTTTGATTCTCCTATCACTGACCTCAGTTTTGCTACAAGGACTACACAGAGCTCTTTAAGCTATTGTTTGAAAAATAGTAACAATCTTATGAAATTGTTAAAAAAACAACTTAAAAAAAATCAACTGCTAAAAAAGCCCACACAACTATTTCTAAAATTGAAAAAAGACACAGAAGACAAGTCAAATATGTATGTATTCTGGGAGGGGAAACAAAGAGAGAAAAAAAGCACTAAAATCTCAACCTATTTTCAGAGCTGCTCCCATTTTCCTTCCAATTTGTTTTCATGTTTTTCTTCCCCTTAAATATTTCATTTACTCAGTGTGTGCGGCTCCAACCCCGCTCCTCCCCCCGGGGGTGGCGCCGCTGCCGCCCCCCAGGCTCGCCCTGCCTCCTGCAGGGGTGGGTTTCTCCCTTACATGGTAGCGGCGTCAGGCGTGGCTGCCGATCGGCTCCGAGCCCTCTGCTGCTCTCCTCCTCTTTCTCCCGCACACGCGCATTAGCAAAACTCCGCGCCTCTGGGCTCTTCGCGCCGAGACTGCCCGCGCCCCGCCCCTCCCCTTGGCTGCCGGCGCCATTTTCAAGGGGATACGGGGGCGGCGTGGGTAGGATCTCCTCCCAAGCCGCGGCTCCCGCGCCTCTGGCTTCCCCCGCCAGTCCCCGCCGACAGAGCTCTGCACGCTGCTGCACCTCCGGCAGTGGGTCACGGACCAGCAGTGGCGGGGCGGATGGGGAAGCTGCGGATCTTTGGGAAGGCTCCGCGGGGGGTCCCAAGCCCCGGCCTGGGGAGGGGGGCGACGCGCCGGGCCCCCCCGGATCCCCGCTCCCGGGCGGATCGTCCTCAGGGGTGGTTTGCGTTGCCGCTCCTACCCCTAGCTTGGGTGTAACTAATAAACACGTACGCGCTGCGCTCCATGTCTCCTGCTCTTCTATTGCTCTGCGCAGGGCTTTCTCTACTTTTCCCCACGCCTTAAGGCATTTGCTGCTGCCTGAGGATTTCGTGTCCTCAGCCAGCATGGCTGTGCATTTTTCCCATATCTCCGGATGCAAAACATCCACAGGGCGTTCAATTGCCCCAAGCTCAAGCAGCCTTGCTATAGCAAGATAAAAGTCTTTGAGCTTACACTCAATTCCCCATTGCTTATGAACCTCACTTACGACCCTGGCGATGGCGTCCATGACGACTGCGGGTCCTGGGACGTCTCCCTCGCCGAGAACACGGTTTCACCGGTCTGGCCGCTGCTCTTGTCCAGGCAACACCCGCTGCCCGAGCTAATCTTTCCCGGGTTTCGGCACCAGTTATGTTGCCTTCATGGAAGACAACGGCGACCTGGTTGCAAGGAACAGCACGGCAGCCCAGTCTCCCCTGGGCCACTCGGGCCAACGACACACGCAGGCACCAGTGTGGTGGACGATCGAAAGCCTTTATTATCTTATCTCATGGGTTTAAATAGTCTTGGGGGACTCTGCTACGTCAGGAGGGGTTGGTAGGGTCTCTAGGGTTAGTCAGGAGTGGAAGACTACTGGGTTAGGTGTGGTTACATTCTTTGGGGTAATGGATAACATGTTGCAGGGTGAGAGGGGGATGGGGGTCTTTCTTTCCGTCACATCCCGAAATCTTCCGTTCGCCTGTCCCTATCTACTACACTCAGAATGCAAATCGATGGTATCAAGTGATAAAGACGACATATATGATGGTGAGTATAAAGTGTATCGATAAAATTTTATCAATAGGAGTGTTGTTTGAGTTGAACTGTGATACGGCAATTTAAAGGCATGAGCAGATAAATTAAAAAATTGCATTGCTTCAAACAGTTCACAATCATAGAACCTTCAAAATCAATTGCATTACTGGTGGTTGAAATATAAGTCTCACAAAGTACATCTAGGTCTACTCAGATCTTTGGATCTGAAAAGCATTAAGACAATGACTGTCTCTGCATTTCTCTGAGAGAACTAAAGTTTTCAAATTTTTGTCACATTTTTCTTATCCTGAATGATTAAATTCTCTCTTTTATTCAGGAAAGGTGCTGTAGACTCTCAAGATTTATTTTTTTTTTTAGTCAATATGGAAAATACATTTTGTTCCACTGTACCCTAGATGGAGATTTGTTCTGACTACTCTGTTTTAATTCTTAATCAACTAACCTGAAAAACTTGGAGAAAATCCATTCTGGGATAATTAGTACTCAATGCATTTACTCAAAATGTATAACAGCACATACTGAAAATCTATTATCTAACAGTCAATCCCCATTGTTACCACATTAAAGAGTGTATAACAGAGTCAATTTCATAAAAAAAAAAATATAATTCCCACATTTGAAAAAGGCATCCCAGCCTGAAATTTAAGTAACACTACAAGTATTTCTACCCTTTTAGTGTCTCAATGACTAGAATACACAGTTAACTTCTGTGCTGGTTAATATTTCTCTCTTTCTGGATCTAGTTCTTATTTCCACTCAATTTGACATGCCACAAATTAATTTTGTGCTGCCCTTGAATATTACGTCAATTAGGGAACTGAAATAAACTAAAATCATGAATGTAAATGTTTTAGACAGAAGTATGACACGGGCAGTCGCTTGGTGATGTCCTTTAGCTAGCCCTCACCTTCCAGCCCATGCCCAGACTGGCCACCCCCTGGCTGCTTCTGGGACCAGCTTGGTGATGTTATATGCGGGGCCATGTAGCTCCTAGTGGCAGTGGGCTGCACTGTGAGACTATAAAGTGAGATCCCAGGCCAAGCAGCCAGAGCAAAAGAGGTAAGAGGGGACACTTGTATAGGTTCTCAAGAGGGTTTAATCTCCAAGAGGGTCCAGGGACAAGTGACAGCTCTTACAGGGTAACAGCAACTTAAAAACATGGGAGGGTACTAGGAGAGGATACAAATCTTAACCAATAGTAGAACAGTAGGGGAGGAATGTAGAGCAGGGGTTAAGTTTTGGGCAACCAATAGGGGATAACATGAGAGGGGAGCAGGCTTGGCACACCAATGAAACTTTGAAGGAAGGGTGATAGAGAAGGTTCTAGAGAAAGGGGTGGAGTTACTTCTGAAGACAAGGGAAGAGGACAGTACTTCCAGGATTGGCAGGGAAAGATCTGGAAATAAGGGAGGAGTAAGGAAGATTGGCATGGGGACTGACATAAGAACTGGTGGGAAAATAGTGGTAAAAAACTTCAGGGCAAAACCGTTGGGGAAAATGAACAGGGTACACGGAACAAGCCACTACAAGCTTACAAGAAGAAACACCTTAAAACTACAACAGAAAAACAAACTACCACCTACAAGCTTACAAGAAGAAACACCTTAAAACTACAACAGAAAAACAAACTACCACAGAAGTATTCACGACAAGTATACAGAAACACTGGAACACACAGATGTGTTACTAAGACTCTGTTTTGATTAGAACCTATTGGAGAGAGATCAGAGGAAGGCTAAAAGGATAATCAGAGGACTGGAGCTCCTCTCCTGTGAAGACAGGCTGAGGCAGTTTGGGTTCTTCAGCCTGGAGAAGAGAAGGGTCTGAGGACACATTGCAGCACCTTCCAGTACCTAAAAGGGGATTAGAAGAGAGCTGGAAAAGGGACTTTTTATAAAGGCATGATATGACAAGGGGGAATGTCTTAAAACTGAAATAGAGCACTTTTAGATCCGACATTAGGAAGAAATTCTTTACTGTGAGGGCAGTGAGGCACTGGAACAGGGTGCCTAGAGAAGTTGTGAATATCCCCTCACTGGAAATGTTCAAGGCCAGGCTGACAGGGCTTTGAACAGCCTGGTCTAGTGGAAAGTGTCCCCAGCCAGGGCAAGTAGGTTGGAACTCTATGATTTTTAAGTCCCTTCCAGTTCTAATTACTTGATAGAGATATTATTAAAATGTGTATTTTCTCCAATCTCATAAGCAGAGTCAGTATTCAGTCTATCTCTTCTATGTCCCCTTTCTCCCTTCTTTGGAAAATCAGTTAAATAGAAAATATGCCTGACTAGAATAGTAAACTCTTAGGACACTGACATTTCCACAAGCAGAAATAATGATAAGACTCTGTGTCACAGGAAAAAAAAATAATGGGGGTTTGATTATTAATTTTTCCATAATTATATTTTAATATTGTAAGAAAACAGACTCTTCCAACCAAATCACCCCCAAACAATTTTTTTCAAACATATTTATTATTGAAGAAAGTAAAATATTTCTATGAATTACAATTCAACAATTAGTCATATTTATTCACAGGCCACTGATCTGGACTAAATCAAACTAGATTAATTTCTCTGTTATATGTTATTGTGCAGTTCTGTGAATATGCATTCTGGTACATGTGTGGTTTGGGAGTAAGAAGGCAGAACAAACAGGAAAGGATACAGAGATGAGGCAGCCTTTTTCAGTTTTTACCATACTGTGTTGCATTTATCTCTTCACCAGTAGTGGTTGTCTGAGGCATGAGATCAGACAGTAAGGACCTATGTTGTTATCCATTATGGGCTATTCATGTAATCCAGTGTGTTGTATAAAACTGTGTTTAAAAAGCAACCTGAAGGCTCTGATAGTATTTTTTTAAAGATATATTCCACAAGCTTTTAATTTTAATAGCTTTTCTTTGAGAATCCTTCCATTTTATGGATACTCATCTGGTACTCTTTGGAGTACTAACTCTGCTTATATTCTATTTATCCACCATAACTAAAACAAGATATATATATATTTTTTAAAGTAATTGAGATCTAATATATATTTTAAAGTAATTGAGATCTCGGAGTTTTACTGGGCCTGTGTTTACAAAAATGTCAGCTATTTTCAAAAATAATTAACTAGACTACAGTGTATGTTCTATGTGTTCTAAGCATTAATGGAAGCAGGAATCAGTAAAATCTCTGTGATAATAATTCAACCTTTAGATCACCATGGAAAAAGGCTGATATTTTTAAAAAGTAAATTTTGAGATACTGCAGTCATTTAACACTTTCACAATTCAGACCTACTTAGCTTTATCTAAAGTGCACTCTCTCCAGTATATTCCAGCAAAATCGCTATAAAAATTCAAAGAAATACAATGGATTTGCCAAATTTTCCACTAATGTAGTTTTGATTTTCTCTTAGTTGATTTGCTTTAATTGAGTCACTTCCTACTCACATTCCCATGTCCTAAGCTAGAATTAAGTGTGCTATCTCTTAAAAATAAAAACTGAAAATGTATGTTCATAAGATATTTTCCTGCCAAAGTGATTGATAGACCAGACTACCAAATATATTAGTAGGGATTTCTTTGTTTGTTCTTGTCCCATAGCGTAGTTTTTACAGCAAATGGCTATGTACAAAAAGAGAAACACAAACTATGTCTTTGAACTCAAGAGAAACCAGGCCAACATCCCGAGACACTGGAAAACAACACACTTAACACCTAATGAAAGCAATTCAGGAAAATAGGACTGTTAAACATAAAATGTTATTTTAAAGAAAATATAAAAACACCAGTGGAGGAGTACACCTTTCTGAGTGTTTCTTAGAGGTACCAGATACCTGTTTTTGTTCTAATTTTTGAAGAAAAACCTTGTCCTTGCTTTTGCAGATTTCCAACATGAAAAAAAACATATAGCTTTGATGGTTTTTTAAATAATTTGCAGAATCTGCCAACACTGCAAAAGAAAACTCAGTTTAAGAGCAAATTTTCTCCATACTTTCAGAAAAGAAACATTATCACATAGGAAGAATGCTTGTGGATTATATGAAATAGATTTTAACTGTAGGAATGCAAACCGGCACAAAAGCTTAAGCTAACTACTCTTAGGATTTGAAAGTTGCTAAAAGACATCTGTATTCAAAGTGATTCCCTACCATGATAATTAGCATAAAGAAGAAATAAACACATCTGGTCTAGCGGAAATAATTTTCAGCTCCGCTGTTGAATTTCTTTGTTCATGATCTATGTATTTTAGGAGGTTTTGCCTTGGGTGTTGAAAAACCTCTATAGTTGTAGAAGCTTCTATGTCCATTAACTGAAAAAAAATTAAGAAACTATCAATAGCATCTCTGCTTATTCATGGGATGCACAGCATACACACCTGAAACTACATCTTAAACCTGAACTAGTGACCTTTGAGACTGGAAACTATATGGCTACATTACATACTCTATTGACCCAGCTGATTAGACTGCATATGATTCCACACTAATGTATCAGAGAGTTAAACTGCTATCAGAAACAGAACTAGATATCCATGAAGC